AATCCTCAACTGCACTTCTATCAGCTAGTCTATGGAATGAGCATTATTTGCATGATCATCCTAAGCTTCATCAAAGGCTTTGTTTTTACCAAGACGGCATTACGAGCTTCATCAACTCTACACAACACAGTCTTTTACAAGGTAAAGCAAATCTTTAGTCTGTGGATATTATTATGATGTACTTGAATGGGAACTGTTGAAGCAAGCTGGATTTTTATCATACCAATTTGTGGGGGTCAGAAAGTCACAGAGTTAATCATTTACCCGGCAATTAGAAATGACACTTTCAGACTTCTAGTATAGTTTAGTATACAACTCAGTGCTGGAGCAAGACTAATAAATTGGTGATAAATGGCTAGTGTGGATTTGGGTGTGAGTGTGCTGGTTTTGGACAGGGGTGTAGAAATTGTGCTCTCCCCCCCCCCCAGATGTGGGTGGTTTACAGATCCTCAGCTCTGGCCAGCATAAGACAATGGTGAGAGTCAAAATGAAATGAGGCCCAGCAACATTTGGGAGGGTCACATATTCCTGTGCCCTTGATTTAGGGTCTACCTGGAACATCAAATTTCATGGGGTTAAGGGTCTGACTGATCATGGTATTTATATCATTTCTAGAAAGGGTCCTGCAGTCCCCTCCATGACAAGGGTTAATGTCTCACAGAGGAAAGCAATATCTAGATTTCTGGCCAGCTAGGTTTTATTTGAAGAATGTGCTGGAGCAAAGGATCTCACAGAGGAGCAAGGCAAAACTACACACTGAAGAGGCAGGGATAGGTCAGTTCATTCAAGAAAACCCTGAAGGAAAAAATTAGGTGACCAGGGCTGCATCCGGACTGCAGCAACAATCCAGTTTGCCATGGCTCCATACTATGGAGCTCTGGGGATTGCAGTTTTGTGAGACACTTAGCCTTCTCTGTCACAGAAATCACAACAAGCTTCAGTCCCCAGAATTCAATAGCATTGAGCCATGGCAATTAAAGTGGTGTCAAACTGGATTATTGCTGCAGTGCAGACACAGCCTAGGAGATCTATAGGAACACAAGTAAGAGATATAGAGATGTCCTTGATGGCATGTGGACATACTGTGTACTTCCCCCAAAATAGTGTTGGCTCTTAGTATGCTCATTTTCTGCTGTGGATGCTGCTTGCCATCACCTAGAACAATCTAGCCCATGGTGAGGGGTTAGGGACAAGCAATCATTGGCATCTAGCATTGGTGTCACCCATTGCAGGTGCCTGGAAGAGGATTGGGCGGAGAGCAGCAGTGGCGCCCTACCCTGCCCCTTCCCCCCTCCCAATGTCTCATTTGCCTGCCCCTTGCTCCCCAGCTCCCTGCCACCCACCCAATGCCCACCCAGGACTGCCAGGGGCCAGGTGAGTGGCCAAGCAATTGAGGCAGTGGAAGGAAATGAAAGGGGCATGTGCAGCCTCTCCTTCTCTGGTGCCTTGGCTCGCTCATTTGAACGAACCATGGCACAGGAGAAGGCAGGAGGGACATGCACATGCTTTTTCAGTGCCATGGCACCAGAGAAGGCTGGAGGGGCATTCTTGTGCTTGTCCCTCCTTCTTTGGGGCTTTGTTCCCTCATCCGAAAGAGCCACGGCAGCAGAGAAGGCGACAGGGCAAGTGGAGGGCCCAACTGGGTGTCCCACCTCCTCTAAGGTGTCACCTGGTGCAGTATGATCCCCTCCACCCCCCGCACCCCCAGTGATGCCACGGATTCATTATCCAGGCCTATGGATTCAATATCCACAGATTCAATCACAGCTTGAAAATATTTTAACAATATATAAACGCCAAAAAGCAAATCCTGATTTGACCATTTTATATAAGTGGCACCAGTTTTCTACTCCACTGAGTTTAATGGGACTTGAGCATCCACAGAGTTTGGTACCCACGGGTGGTCCTGGAACCAAACCCCAGCAGATAGCAAGAGCCTGCTGTATTTACACTTTTAATAAAATGTGTTTACTTCCGTTATTGTGATTTCACTGTGGTAATTCTCCTGTGTAATACTGCATGTTTACAGTCATGGCTGCAGCAAGAAAGAAAACTGAAATCCATGCTCTTCCTTTAAATGCTGCTGTACAAAGAAGAACCCCCTCGAGTCATCAAACGAAAACAACATCCCATTGTTGTATTTTATATCATAACTCAGATTAAGCCAGAATCATATATCTGCCATGCAGTGCTGCAAAAGACACATCTGCCCTCCCATTTTGTTGTTGCTGTTGTTGTTGTTCTTAGTTGTTTCTCTCCACCCACACCCCCTTTTTCCCACAGATCTTACAGAGCCCAATGAGTTTCTTTGATACGACTCCCACTGGCAGAGTAATGAACCGTTTTTCTAAGGATATGGATGAACTGGATGTCAGGCTTCCATTTAATGCTGAGAATTTTCTGCAGCAGTTTTTCATGGTGCTCTCTGTTGTCATCATTGTTGCCATCGTGTTTCCTTACCTCCTAATTGCAGTGGCTGTCCTAACTGCTATTTTCATTCTGCTTTTCCAGTAAGTTTTTAAGTTAAATTCTGATTATAAATACAAATAATTAAGGAAATAAATAAAAGAGTGTAGAGAGAGAGAAAGGAGGCAGTCTTGGTCCAGGAGCATGCATTAAGTTGACCACATGTCCACAAAATATTTACTTGTAGGTGGTATCTCTGGGTCAAAAAAGATGATATGATTACTTTTGTTGTTGTTGCAGAAGTACTCCCCCAAATGGTGAAAGACATCTGTATGTCACAGCACATATTTTTTCTAATATGTATATCTTGCATTTACCATATGAAATTTTGTGATTGGTCATGGGAAGACAAACATGGCCTTAATTTCCAAGTGTGATTGCCAAGACATACCCCACTGGAGAAGGGGAAGCCAGTTAATTCCAGGAAAAATGTGTTGCCCTCAGTGCCTAGGTGGACCCTGTAAAATGCACAGTAAAGCATAGATGAAACAGTTGAATTTCTCATCACTGAATAATGAACATTTGCTTTTCCAACCTTGTAGTGCAAATGGCTTCTTTGACTGAATCTACTCATCTGTAATGCAATCTTCCTCTTCCCTATTGCCTCCCAGTTTCCCTGTGCATTGCTGTCTTTTTAATTAATCATGTCTTTTCATGATATGCCCAAAGTACAATAGCCTCAGTTTGGTTGTTCTAGCTTTTAGTTAGAGTTCAGGCTTAACTTGCTCTAAGACCTATTTATTTGTCTTTTTGGAAGTCCATGGTATCGGTATCTACTATGCAGGGAATAAGTAACTCAGTGGAATTTACTTCTGAAAAGACATACAGAGAATAATTCAAAGTCGCCGTTAGTGATAGAATTCAATTTTTAGTAAACATATTCAAGGGTAGCTGTGTTGGCCATATACCAAAGTACAATAACATCCAAATTCCACAAAATAGTGAAACTTTTATTCAGCCAATTTGGTTGGCCGATTAAAAGTATCACTTTTTTTGGGGGGGGGGGATTTTGGATGTTATTGTACTCAATTAATTAGTGTTTTTAAACCCAGAGGGCTGGTTTGGAAAGTGGTAAACCTGCACACTCAACCTGGTTTTGTTGCAGGGTTTTTCAGCACACTATTCGAGAGCTGAAACGAGTTGAAAACACCAGCAGGTCTCCGTGGTTTTCTCTGATCACATCTTCTGTCCAAGGCCTTAGTACAATCCATGCCTACAATAAGATGGAAGACTATATGAGTCGGTGAGTTGCCTCACTCAGAAGTCCGATTTTTCTCTGCTGGTTGCTTGGATAGGGATGGATGAAGCTGTGTTGCCATTCTTCCCCAGACCACCGATCTTGTCAATTTTGCACCTGCGGACACACTGATGAAGCCACTCTGTTATTGTGCTACATAAGCAGTTGAGATCCTGTGGCTTTTCATTTGCAGAAAATGACAAGCCGCAGGGAAGCTCCTGGATTGCACCATGGCTTCCTCAGAATTGTCTCAAAGAGATCGTTATGTCTGCAGCTGTATGGTATTCCCACTGGAGCTCTTTATATTCTTTTCCCCAAGCATGAAGCTCTTGTTAGGTGCTTGTTTTTCACCTATTTTTTTTTTAAGTGGAAGAATTCAACTTGTCTGTGAATCTTCTACTATTTCCTTTGTAACCTGGGTCCTGGTTGGAGATTCTGCAGCACAAAACTACATAGGATTCTTTTACACCACACGATTATAGCATTATCATTCCACTTTAAATGCCATGGCAACATCCTATGGAATCCTGGGATTTGCAGTTTGTTGTTTTTAATTGCCCTCAACTCTGATTCATGGCAACTCTGTTGATAAGACATCTCCAAGACCTCCGTGCCCTCCACTGTTCTGCTTAGGTTCTGTAGATTCAGGCCTGTGACCTCCCAGATTGAGTCTGTCTATCTGGCATGCAGCCTTCCTCTTTTTCTACCACCTTTCCTAACATTAGGGATGCTTTGATTTTGAGTTCCTGCATGGCAGGGGGTTGGACTGGATGACCCTTGTGGTCTCTTCCAACTCTATAATTCTATGATTCTATGATTATTGTCTTTTCTAATGGGTCATGCTTTCTCATAATGTGGCCAAATTATGACAATCCCAATTTGATCATCTTGGTTCCCAGAGAGCATTCAGGTTTGATCTGTTCAAGGACCCATTTGTTTTTCTGCTGTCCATGGTAGCCTAAGCACTGTCCTCAATACCACATTTCAAATGAGTATACAGTTTAGGGAAGGTTATTTAGAATTCCCAGCCAGAGAGCTCTAGTGTCTCACCAAACTACAAACCCCAGGATTCCACAGGATTAAATTAAAATGGAATGACAGCACTGTCACAGGTTGGGTCTTCCTCATCTGGAATTCCAAAATCTGAAATACTCCAAAAATCCAAACCTTTTTCATGAGTGGCAACACTTTTGCTTGATGATGGTTCAATGTACACAAACTTTATTTCATTCACAAAATTATTTAAAAAATACTGAATAAAATTACTTTCAGGCTATGTATATGATGTGTATGTGGAGCCAAAGTGGTGTAGTGGTTTGAGCATTGGACTATGACTCTGGAATCCAGGGTTCGAATGCCAGCTCGGCCATGGAAACCCACTGAGTGACCTTCGACAGGTCACACTCTCTCAGCCTCAGGGGATGGCAATGGGAAATCCACTCTGATGAAACTTGCCAAGAAAACCCCATGATAGGTTTGTCTTAGGATTGCCATAAGTAGGAAATGACTTGAAGGCACACAACTACTACTACAACTATATGATATTTATATGAAACAGAAATGAATTTTGTATTTAGACTTGGGTCCCAGCTCCAAGATATCTCCTTATGTACATATATGAGAATACAGGTATTTTGAAACCCCAAACACTTCTGGTCCCAAGAATTTTGGATAAGAGAGACCCCACTTGTATTGTATAGTGTGAAAAAATCCTTGGTACCAGCAGAATCTTTCTCCTCTGAGCCAGTGTAATTTTTTAGAATATGTCCAAAGAAAAGGAAGGCATTGGCCCTTCTGTGCTAAAGCTTGCTTGTGAAATCCTGATACATCAAGTGGAGATTAGCAGGAGTGTTGAAGAACATCATCACGTGTCGATTATTCATCAAGCACAGCATCTCTGATGCTCTCATGAAAAGTGTATTCATGGGAATATGAAAAAAATATTAATGGGAATATGGGAAGAATTTATAACTCATCCTCCATAAACTGTAGTCTAAAAACTTACAATCTGAAATAGTAAGGTGAAGGAACAGTGTAAGACCCAACCCATCCATCCATTTGGTGGCTGGTGAAGCTGTTTTGACTCTGAATGAAAACTTTAAAAGAGCTATCCAAGGTGCTGAATCTGCTGAGGAAGTGTAAAAAGTCTAGCACCTTGGATAGAAACTTTAAATTCAGACTGGAGTAGATTGTTCACCCAGACAACATTGGGATCAGTGGCCTGTACTAATCTGCCATACAGATAATTTTTAGTGTGCTTTCCACCCAAAAATACAAGGGATAATTATGCTGGTTCTGTGGAAAACAAGTCAATCATAAAGGAGGCTCCATTTGTGCATCTGTTTGGTGGAATAAAGTCTCTCATCACACCACCACCAGCCTATTTCAGTGGTAACCTGGATGAATTGGGTGGAAGCAGCAAGAATTGGGGCTTCACACATTAACATGCAAGCCTGATCGATTTCTCACTCAGCCCCTGGTCAGAAGAGCAGGCCCGTCTTTGCATGCTCAAATTGACTTGAGACAACTAGTAACAACTTTCATCTTTGCTTTTCTATTTCAGCTTTAAAATGCTGAATGATGAAAACTCCAGCCATTTCATGCTGTTTAACTATGCCTTGAGGTGGTTTGCAGTGAGGACAGATATCCTTATGAATGCCATGACTTTGATCGTAGCCCTCTTTGTCGTGCTCAGCCCTGCTTCCATCAGTGCTGCAGAAAAAGGCTTGGCTTTATCTTACATTATCCAGGTAAAGGATCAATGGTCAAAATCTTGGGCCCATTGTCACATGGTCCAAATGGGATCTAAGCTAACCCAGCACTAGCTTCCTTCCTTCCTTCCTTCCTTCCTTCCTTCCTTCCTTGACTTGAATCCTGCCTTTCCTCCAAAACTGAGAGTCAAAGTGACCTGCCAACAGCCTAAAAACAAGTGCACATAAAAACAAGCAAAAAATTAGACTATTAAAGTGCAATTAAACAAATTATAACATGAAATCATGATCATATTAAAAAGAAACTTAAACACATAGGAGTATAAAAAGTACAGTACTGACCTATTAAAAGCCCCTTCATCAGTAGCCAGTCATCTGCTAAAAGCTCACTTGAATAAAGCCAGCCATGGATTACTGTAAAAATATGTGGCAATGACAAAAGATAAGGGGTTTGGTGGAAAAAAGAAAAGGGGTAGGAAATAAGAGTAATTTAAACAGTCAAAATAAGATCCAAAATAATTGAAGTTACAATTAACCACTGGAGAGACAATAGTAAGATTGGATTAATTAAATCAGAACTGGGGAATATTAAGGGAAACAATGTCTTACAAAATCAGATAAATGAAGGGAAGTATGGAATTAAGGATATAGAGCAAATAGGAGATAGGCAATTAGATATGACATAGTAATGACAAAAGAAATGAGATGTAAAATGTACAAACTACTCTTTTGTTATTAAGTTTTTTCTTGTTTATAAAAATCAAGTTTAAAAAAAGAAACAAAGCTCACTGGAATAAAAAGGGTTTTGCCTGCCAGCACAAGAAGGAAGGGACCAATATTATAGTCTTCATGCTGACACCAAGAAAGCCCTCTCTTGCATTCTCACTAAATGGATCAGTGAAAAAGGGCTCCTCAGAACATAGGTGGCATGTATCAGAGAGAAAGGGTAGATTGATTGCTTTCATGGCGTATTGACAGTAGCATGTGGCAGTCACCCACCATACAGTTGTAACTCTTGAGTAGGCAAGACAAACTTTCTCCTTCTGCTGTGTATCTAGTTTGTGAAGTGCATCCTTCAGCTGTGTCTAGTAGAGCGTCTTGCAATATAATCACTTTGCTAGCATCGCATGGGCCTTGAAAAGGTCAGTGCTGTCACTTTTGAGGAAGTCAGTTTGAACTTTTCAAATTGCAGTATTCACCTGATGCACTTCGAAGAAGCTAGTGCAATGTGTTGGTATTCCTTAGAGTTTACAGACAAAGTAAAAGTATGAACTGGAGCCATCTGTTACTTAACACATAATGTCTCCTCAGGGGGCTCTGGCTCCCTAGGGATCTTTGGACTGGCTTGCTCCCTGCCTTTGTGCACTTCCAAACAGGTATTTCCTTCACATTTTAAAGGCATCCATCACTGGAGACAATGGCCAATACACAGTGTCTCATATGAGTTTTCCATATACATCTAATGATTGAAGACGCTTGCTCCTAACCAAAACTACTGGGATATCTAAAACAATAACGTTTAATGTTTGCCTTAGGGTTGCCATAAGTTGGAAATGACTTGAAGGCACACAGCAACAGCAGTTGTTTAAGACTGAAAAATATGTGGCCTTCCAGATCTTGTTGGACTACAAATCCCAGCTGTTGACCATCCTGGCTACAGCTTGGCAATACAAAGTGGCTTCCAACATAATTTTTAAAGATTACAATAAAAATGAACCCAATAAACTGTGCATAGTAAAATACAAATTAAACAACAACTAACACCATTGAAAAACATATGCAAATGATATGGAAACACCACACTAAAATAACCAGTAAAATATTTAAAAGCCCATGTTAAAACCTCTGACTTTAACAGGTAGGCAATTGCTGAAGGCTTGGCTGAGTAGGAAGGTTTTTGTCTGTGGTAGAGAGCCAATATGGTTTGGATGTTGGACTATGACACTGGAGACTGGGTTCAAATCCCGGCTGGGCCATGAAAACCTACTGGGTGACCTTGGGCAAGTCAAACACTCTCAGCCTCAGAGGGAAGCAAAGGCAACCCCCCTCTAAACAAATCTTGCAAGTAAACCCCGTAATAGGTTTGCCTTTGGGTGCCATAAGTTGGAAATGACTTGAAGGCACACAACCACAGCAGGACAACAAGGAAGGGCTTTGGCTGACCTCCCTTAGAAAGAAATTCTGTAATCTGGTAGTGGACCCCAAGAAAGTTCCAACTCATGTCTGCCCACAAAAGAAGTTGTAAGGTCTTTCTAGGTCATAACAAGAATTGGTAGCAAGTAAAGCTCTTGTAACAGGGCAGTCCTGTGCTTCTTGTAACCAACCCCATTTTAATGGTCTTGGTGCATCATTTCTGGATCAGCATCCACTTCCTAACACTCTTTGAAGGCCACTCAAAGAGTGCTATATGGGATGTGACTACAGTATGTCTCACCGTGGCCAGATCATACATCCAGGAACAGGCACAAATAGAAAATATTCTCCTAGCTTGGAAAGCTAAGTCAGGATTAATCTAGGAGCACACCCAAGATGAAATACTGCATCTTCAGGAGAAGTATAACCATGTTCAATGGAATTGAAACCCCATTCCCTAATCTAATTTTTCAGTTGATTAGGAGCACATCTTTCTTGTCTGGATTAAGCTTCAATTTCTTCATATTCATCCAGTCTGTTACTGATACCAAATGATTCAGAACAAAACCCTTTTCCTCATATTTAGATAGAAAGGAAAAATAGTCAGATGTCATCTGCATATTGGTGGCACTGAATGCCAAACCTCCACGCAACGTCTCCCAGAGGTCTCATGACAATATTAAATAGCATGAGGAAGAGGACTCAGCCCTGGGGGATGCCACAAGCCAACAGCCTGGACACTGAGCAGAAATCCTTCAGCATGATCTTGTATACCTCTTTCCCAGCAGGAAAGGACAAAGCCGCTGCAAAGTGATGCCTCCAAATCCCATTCTGCAAAGATAGTCCAAAAACTGTCATGGTTGATGGGAGTGAAAGAGAGAGACCCAGCAGAACCAAAGAGTTTCTCTATCCATTTCCCAGTGTAGATCATTTAGCAAGATGACCAAAGCAGGGCTCCGTCCTATAAATAAGTGTATATACAGTGGAATACAAAGAGCCATTTGTTATGACTGAAGGATTAATGACGTGTCGCTCACATCACTCACGCTACTTACACATAAATACACAGAGGAAAGGCACATTTTGGTTAAAAGTGCAATATTTCCTTTTTAAGTATGAGATATTTTCAAAACAGTAAATTATGAGTCCTTTTATTAGCACATTTTCCTAAAGGATAAATATTTCCTAGGCACTGGCAGAAATGCCAGAAAAACACAGGCCCCGTAAGTCAAATTGTGAAAGATGTTTTTTTCTAGGCTTGTATTTAGTCCTTCTCCACAGGCAATTGTAATAGTTCTGAAATTGCCTCTGGGTTTTATCATTTCGGGCCTATGAGTCACTTTCTTTTCTTTAGACTCTCTTTATGTTTCAAACATTTTCCTTCCCTTCTCTCAGTACACTTGCCAGATAAATGAAAAGGGATGAAAGGTGGCTTTTTGATCCCTGTAAGCAGGATCACCCCTACCTGCCATTAGGCGGACTGAGGAAATTGGCTCAGGTGACAGATATTGGGAGGCAACTGGCA